AAGTCTGTTGATCCAACTGCCTAAACTCAATCTACTATCACCTTTCCAACTCAACTGATTCACGTTCACTGGACTTGATTTACCTCATCTTGGTTCAACATTCATTCATTCATTCATTCATGCATTCATTCATCTTAAACCACTTAGTTCAGCTAGGGTCCCGGACCACCCTGTCTCCTGCAACCTCCTCCAGCTCATTCTGGGGGACCCAAAGCTGCTCTCAGGCCAACTTGGAGATATGATACCCCCGCTTAGGATGACCTCAGGGTCTCGTCCCAGTAGCCGTGCCTGGTAAACCCCCACCAGGGAGGCGGCCAATGGGCATCCTGATCAGATGCCTGAACCACCTCAACTGGCTCCTCTCAATGTGGAGGAGTAGTGGCTCTACTCCGAGCTCCTCCCGGTGATCGAGCTCCTCACTCTATCAAGTAGAGTGTAGCCCACCACCCTGTGAAGCTCATTTCCACCACTTGTATCCACAATCTCATTCTTTTGGTCATTACCCAAAGCTCAAGACCACAGGTGAGGGTCGGGATGTTGACCGACTGGTAAACAGAGAGCTTTGCCTTCTGGCTCAGCTCCCTCTTCGCCACTACGGTCTGGTACAGTGACCGCATTACTGCTGCCGCCTGTCCCACCCTGCGGCCGATCTCACGATCCCTCTTCCCATCACTCATGAACAAGACCCCGAGATACTTAAACTCCTCCACCTGGGGCAAGTCTTCCCCCTCTACCTGGAGTGGGCATGCCATGCTTTTCCAGGCAAGGACTTATTTGACTTTGAGTTGGTTTGAAAGTGGTCAGTTTAGAAGTACAATCAGTGATAGAGAACAGGGTAGCAGCAACAATAACATATAACAATAACAATAATAACATATTGTAGTGACCAACTACTGGCTGGTGCTGGCTTCTAGATGCTCATGAGGCATAGCTATGCTGATGGCTATGCCATGAGGATCATGGGAGGTCTTCACCCTCCATTTATGTTGTTTATGTTGTTGTTTGTCAGTTAAAGGTATATGTTTATTGTGTTGTTGTCAGGGAGTGGGTTCAGTTGGTGTGGGTTGGTTGTCACTGTGAGGGTGAAGTGTATGGCTAGTGGTGACCTTCCCCAGGAGTTCAGTGCTTTCTATGTGCCTTTCTATACTGGTGTTTCATAAACAGCACTTCTTGTGATGGAACTTTGACTGCCTCTACTCTATTGGATTCAATGGAAATGTGTGGCATAATTGAATTAAGTTCTAACAGCAATTTTTTTGGAGTGTAGGAAGAAAACAATGCAGAGTTGGTGAATAAAACAAGAATGAAGACACACCTCATATGCAAATAGAGGCCGAAGCCAATGAAATCTTTGACTATAAGAAATAACCAAAAACATGGTAACACTTTCTATGAATGTCACCTTTGCAAGCATCTATAAACACATTTATAACATGTTATAATGTATTCATAAGGCATTATAAACATGGTTATAAATATTCATAAAAAAGAATTACACTCAATTACACTTTATAGCCATGTTTATTATACATTATGAATTGTTAATATAATGCATTATAAATAGTGTTAAAAACATGTTATAATGTCAGTGCCAAAGAAGTCAGTCCCAGCTTGGAGAGTGTAAAGTAAAGACAAATACCAAGCTAACGGTGGTGTACATTACCTTTCCCACATTGGGTAAAACACTGATGGCAGCTCTAGTTTAAACTCTGACATTTGAAGCCTGTAATGAGCTTTACTGTGAATGTTTTAGTGTTTCAGTAAATCCTTCAGTAAATACTTCAACTTGAAGCCTCACTCTGAACACTGGAGGAGGCTTTAGTACAGTACGCTTCACTTTACTTAGACCGGACAAATACAACTTATGAGCTCTTATAATTTGTTATGAACAGTACTTATAATGCATTATGTTAACAGTTCATAATGCATAATAAACATATAATGTATAATGCATTTTTATAAATATTTATAGCTATGTTTATAATGTCTTATGAATGCATTATAACATGTTATGAATGTGTTTATAGATGCTTACAAAGGTGACATTCATAGAAAGTGTTACCAAAAACAATCTTTTAACTCAAAATCGTAGAATGGAATCTAATGTCGCTGTCAAAACAAAACCTCATATCTCCAAAATGGTAGCTTTTTGGGAGAAAGAGAAACCATTCTTAACTTGTAATGAAAGTCTGTGTAAAATATTTTTTTTTTCCAAGTAATTTTTGACCATTTATGTTGGTCCATTCAACATGAAAAGGTAACTGGAGTTAGGTTAGGTTACGTGAGTCCAGGTGCAAATCCCACAAATCACTCCCTCCTTATTCTAGTTGGCTTGATTGATTGATTAATAGGCTTATTTAACATTTGAGATAATTATGTTCTTTCAATGCTAAATGTTAATTATAGTTTAAAATTGAGTCAAATCTATTAATATTTTAATTAATAGCATGATGTGTTTTCCTAACATATACAAGAACCAGCTACCTGTTTAAGTGTATAATTTATAAAATATAACTTTTTAAAATAAACTTTGTTTTAGTGTTTTAGACACAAACTTTAAATGCAGTGTATATCTTTCATTGAGTGCTCTAGACTGTTTTGAGAGAACAGTTTGAATTAGTACCCATTTGTGTAGTTTGAATCTTTAAACTATCTGTAGTAGTGCAGGATGAAGCCCAGCTGCAGTGCACTGTGTCTAGCAGCAGTTTCTCCAGTATAGTGCTGTTTATTTACAGTACTGATACTGCAATCCACATATACAGGAAAATACTGTTTAATCACAGAAGTTAACTGTACTGTTGTGTCAGCAAGGTATAGTTTTATATCACTGTTGTTGGAACAAAACCTCGTATCTCCAAAATGATCATTTTACAGGATAAGAAAAAACTTACTTTTATTGTAAGTCAGTGGAACCAAACTTTTTTCCAAGTCATTTTGGGTTGTTTCTTTTGGTCCATTCAATGTGAAATTTACACACAATGTAAAGGGCAACGTTTTTAAATTATGTCAAACATTAAAAAATGACAAAAAATGGAGATACAAGGTTTTATTCTGACAACAGCGATATATAACTACTGTAATTCCTTTTTTTCAGAATAACACTACAGTACACTTTGTCATTTTATCCATATACTGCAATTTTGCATGGCAGCAATCCTCAAAAATGCAGCATGGATAAGTAATAAGGTACAATACACAATATCTCATAGATCAGACTGTTCTTAGAAGATTTATATTACATAATACAGTAGTTTACTGTAGATTCCTTACCAACAACAAACATTTCAGGGGACTTACATGCTGTTGACAACTGGCTATATATAACTATATACAGCCAAAACTATGATGACGGTGTCAATTACAACAGCACTAAACTGTTTACCAAACACATCTTATAGATAAGAAATTGCTGCAGTAATACGTACTTCAGTTCACAAAGCTAGCCCGCCGTATTTTTCACCACTGACTACTGTGTTTCCCGATTATGGCTGAATTATCCTCCTAAGGAAAGTTGTTGTTTTTTGGTGAAACTTTTGAAGTTATTGTTTTGTCCATTTAAATTCCTTTGAGGCATTTTGTGACAACATGCAGTTTGCAAGTATACTTGAAATTGAAGTAACATGTAAAAAAAATGAAATGAACTGTAAATGAAAAAATAAAAAGTGGGGAAAGTTCATGAACTAACTTTAAATTGGCTTGGAAAAGCCATAGCTACACTTGAAGACCCACAAAGATGGTTCTTCAAGTGGTAAAAGTAAAGGAAAACTAAAGTAAACGTAAAGACAGCGGTTCTATGTAGAGCCATATACAGTTAAAAAGTCATTTGCATGCTTAAATGGTTCTTTGCATGGTGAAATGGTTCAGATTGATACAAAACCATACACAACACATTTTCCATCATTTGAACCATTTCATCATGCAAAGAACCATTTAAGCATGCAAATGAATCTTTGAGGTTCATGGTTCTATATAGAACCATTGCTTTTCCTAAAGAACCCTTGAAGAACCATCTTTTTAAAAGTGTATGACATCCCTGGTGGTTGCTAAAATGTTGCTAGGCTGTGGCTATCTTGACCCACATGTCTGCTAAGGGGTTGCTAGGCCATTGCTATCGTATCCCAGGTGGTTGCTAATATGTGTATATATGTGCATTAGTTTGTATGTGAGTCTGTGTCTAATGGCTGTAGGGGGCAGTGTGAGAAATCTTTGTGACATCATGTGCAGCACATAGATTTGATTATCTCAACATGTTGTTATTTATTTGTCAATTAAAAATAATTGTGTTTGAATGAACACTATGAAAATCATGCGTATTGAATTTTATCACCATCATCATCCTTATATTTGGTCCTTACAAAGAGCTAAATACGCACACACACATACACACAGGCAGTGTGGCGGGTTGGATGTGATCCTTTCCAGGGACCTGTTGGTTTATAAAGGTGAAAGGTTAAAGGTCATATGCAGGGAGACCCCTCACATTCCAGCCACACTGAAAAGCAACACAGCTGAAAAAAAAGTGAATTCCATTAAAACAATTCAAACGAATTTGGAAAGATTCATAAATTTGGAATTAATATTATTAATAACATGGAAACAATTTGGTCTAAAATTATTCTAATACTCAAGTCCTCCACAGCTTCATGGATTTCAAATATCTAGGAAGCTGTCAAATATGAAGAAATGTTAGATGTGTCCAAAGTGATGAACAGAGCTGTAGATGATTCTACACTGACTAGGAAAGCTATAGAACATCAAGTATAAATTTATAGTAAAAATAATTATTATACCCAGAATGAAAGTTGTAATAAATTGTTCTTATTTTACTATATTTCATAACTATGCTCTTAAAGGTTTTTATGTGGTTCTTTGGGGGAACCAAAAGTGGCTCTTCTGTGGCATCACTCCAAAAAAAAGTTCTTATCTTATTCATTTTAAAGATGAAATCAAACATTTTAAGCTTCTGTTTTTTAATTAAGCTTTTTTACTTTTTTTTTCAGACCTGTGCGCCATTGTCTGAGAAAACCAGGGCAGGTAAGTCCTCAGAATTTGAACATTTTTAATGCTAACACAAGTGTGCTTCCATCTGTTTTCTGGTTTGCTGTGTATTGTGGTCTATTTTTGTTTGTGGTTGTTGGTCAACTCGAGATTCTGGCCAAATCTGAGGTTTACAATTCCAGAAACATCTTGTTATTATCATACACAGAAAATTAGAGCTAGCATGCTTGTTTCTACCAAAGTCTTGGTATGAGGTCAGTGGGAAAGGTGAACGCCGACCAGTTACAGTTGGTAGAGTTGGTGTAGATTACTTCTGTGATGAATATTTCTCATTCTGCACTAATCAAAGGCATATTAGCTCCTCAAAATAATATTCATCATACTGAAGAATCCCAAATCTCATCAATGTCATTGTCTTCATTGGCTAAGAAGCAATCCAAACATTTTAGAACATGGAATAGCTCTAAAACACCAAATGTAAAACTTTAAAAAAGTTGAAAAAGTGGTCTTAGATCAGTGGAAAAAGAACTATTGTCAGCAGAAAATGACTGACCAGACTAACCTCTGTTGGTTCTTGGACCCCAGTGTGTGCCATAGAAGAATGGACAACAATGTGCGTATGCATGTGTCTAGCTGTTAGATTTCATTTCCGTCAATTGATTAACCTGTCAATCAAACTAAGACTACAATGACAGTATAATAGTGTCCGCTGTTATACTACATGCAGCTGCTTTTGGATTGGTCAGTGGCCTACTGGAGCTGCATATCAGTCCTGGGCCGAGTTACGCAACGTAATGACCCCCTGTGGTCTTTCGGCTGTGTGTGATGAAGACCAGACCAGATGACAGCACAATGCCCTCCTGTTCTGAAGCACCTCAAAGCGTCCCTTTTATCAGTCAGCGAAAGGGGCTTCTTCTCTGTTTTATTACATCACGCAAGCTTCCACTGAAAACAGGCCGCATTCATGGTCCATTTTGGGCTTGTTACAGTAACGGGGTCATGGTGCATTGCATGTGTGCTGGAGATGAATGTTAGCTGTGGAAAAACAGCAATGAAAAGATCGTTTCAGCCCTATGTGTCTTTCTGAATTGCCAGACATTGTCCCAAGGCCGGACACAGTAGGCGTTTGAAAAAAGTAGAATGTCTGTGGTAATGAGTTATAAAAGAGTTTACAGCTTGTTTCCACAGTACCTCTGGTTTATCTAAGTGTTGTGTTGCATACATCAGATGTTGGCTTTGTGATGAGATGAAAGTTAAGGGTATCTTCTGATGACCCATCCATAGATGATGTTTGTCCAACAATACTGCACTGTGCAATATTATTTCTGTGCCAGCCAAATCTTCCTGTTGGTCCTTAGCAGTGATGTGGGGGTTTTGCTTTGCATACCTGTCAAATCTATAAGCAGTTCTTCTAGAGATGTTTCTTAAGGCTATTACACACTGAACGCAATGTGTAAGAAATGTTTTTTTTTGGAATTTCACTGTGTTGTTTTGCTGAAATCAGATCATCAACTATATCAAAATAGATTATTTGAAATGGACAAACTTCATTCTTCATTGTGCAGGTTCCACTTCAGAAAAGCGAAAGGAGAACAGGGAGTTTTTGCGAGTGCTCTCACCACCAACTGGGATCTCAGCTGAGTTTTAGCTGATTTTGGAGATGCATCTCCAAACCAAATGAAGCCCAAAACAAACAGGCTGAATGTCTTTAAAACCAAATAAGATCCAATTATTTGCTCCCCACAGTGACAGACAAAGGGTAACAACAACTACTGTCCATTCATCACTTCATTCAGAAGCTGAAACTTGTTCTTCCACCTTTAACTCAATGCTTATAACTCAATTTGAGCTGCTTTTGGAGATTTTGATCCTCCCAATGTTTGTGAAAAAGTTTTATTTGCTGCTCTGTCATCTTGGTTGTCTTCATGCCAACAGCAGGGATGACCATGATTGGTCAGTGAGTTTTTGTTGCCAGCGAATAGTTCACAAACATCAAACATTTTCTCCATTTGAAAAATCGCATTTGGTATGCAAGACATCATCAGTTATACAGGTTTTTGAATTAATTTAATGTCATCCAAATAAACTGCATGAATAAATCATAAATAAATTGCATTTGGCTTGTAACGGCCTTTAGTGTTCCAGATTCTTGACTTCAACAGTTCACTTTAAATGGTAGCTCGGGCAGTAAGAATTACAGTTTAGATACATTTTATATTCTTCTCTTGCTTTGTCAATTATTTTCAGTGTCAGTTCCTTAATCCAGCTGTTAGGATGAGCCCATGGATGAGGACAACACTCTGAGATGTTGCACTGAAAACAGGCCTCATTTATGGTCCATTTTAGGCTTGTTACCATAACGGGGTCATGGTGCATTCCATGTGGGCAGGCAATGAATGCTAGCTTTGGGAAAACTTTGAAGAGGTCTTTTTACCCCATGTTCTTCATGCCTTTTTTCAGAATTCCCAGACTTTATCCCAAGGTCAGACACAGTGGGGGTTTGGAAAGAGCGGAAATATGCAGAATTTCTATGCTGATGAGTCATAGAAGAGTTTCTTTGTATGCAAGATGTAACACATGCCTCATAGGCGTGAAAATCTAACAGAACAGGACTATTTTAAGTTGAGCACCTACATGGTGAAGCCCATATGCAAGCCCACTGGAAATGCACAGTATCTGTCAAAAATGCCTGAAATTCTGAAATATCCACAGCAGTGGTCATAGGCATAAACTTGGGTTAAACATTAGGATGCCAAACAATGTATGTCCTAATCTAATAATGATGAACAACCATCATCATATCAACCTATGTGAAGGACAGTATTTGTGATTTGAGTATTGCCATGTATTTAATTACATAATTCTGAAGTGTAAAAAGTAGTAAAAGTAAAGAAAGTAGGGGTTTCTAGGCTTTGACTGGCACTGTATACAGTGGACACTCAGGGCCAAAGAATTTAAGCCCAAGGTCAGGGCCTAGGTGCCAGACAAATATTGCTACCTTAAGAAAGGACCTAGACTCATCACTATTCAAATTTCTCTGTATACTGCTTGCTAAAAACAAGCAAAGTTGTTAATGATGTTTTTAAGCTCAGATGAAATGATGTTAATTTAGTATTTCCAAAACATTGTGCATCACCTATACTTCAGGACTGTGATGTCATCTGATCAATAAGGTAAAGAGTTCTATGTGCAGGTATGTCCAAACTTTTGGCTGGTACTGTAGTAAAACAAGGGCAATATGTTTAACTGAAAGGCCAACATTAGAGAGCAAGATAATGATTCTTAACTTTAAAATTTATAAGACTCATCACTGTAAATGAAACAAGGAGTTGTTTTGGTTGTATAACGCTTAGCTAATTTATTTTTCAGAGAAATTGAGTGTGGCCTCTGCTTACGTCAGGTCTGTCAAATGTGTAACATCATCTGATCACATTTGACCACAGACATTTCATTCTCTCAGTACCATCTGTGTTTCACAATGTTCTCACATCCACCCAAAGGAACAGTGATGTGGTATTTAAAAGGCTAGAAATCAGTACTATTCATCTTTAAGTGAGACATATCTGTGGTGAAGCATAACAGCAAAGGTTGGTCATAGTTTGTCAAGTTTCTGTGAGTGTTTTCTGCTGGTTTAATCCCAGGAACACAGGAGGGATTTTCACACCGAGAGATCGGAGCGTTTTTGTTCCTGACCTGGTATTTGCATTGAAGGACTGCAGAGGTGTGGTAAAAAAAAAAAGAACTAAGAAGTAAATCCAATGCTGAGTGGGTTTTACTGACATTTAGCCACTTTGCTATTACAACAAAACCCCCGCTTCCTGTTCCTGCCAGTCCTGCTCGTTACAAGCAGGAAATTCCACCGTGCGCTCTTTGGATGGCGAGACAGGGAAGAAAAGAAAGAGAAAAGGTAGAATTGTGTCTGCACCCGCCCACAGAGGGAGCGGAAGGAAGAGGGGCAGAAATGAAAGGTGCACTGGGCAGTTAACTGTAGCCCTGCCTCTCTACTGCTCTGGATATGTCTTTTATATTCAGTCAGCCATTGCCCTTCTTCACTGGTCCAAGTCTGCTTCCCCCCTCAGTTTCTAACCTCACAATTACTGCATTCAGATCAGTGTTGAATAGAATAGAAGTTGCTGAAAATCTCCAACTAGAATATCTTTGGCAAAATTTGTTAGTCATTGTAAGACAATGTTAACCATTGGAAAACAAATGGCAAGGCTGCTGTTTCTTTCTTCCTAGAGGTCTTCATACGTCTATCTTATTTCTTCAGTCATTAACCTTCTTCATTATTCATCCCCCAAGTACCTCAGTAGTTGGTGAAGGTAATGCTAATCTATGACTAGACAGTCTAAGGAAAATTTCATTAGCCATTATGACATAAATGGCAGAACTGCTCTCAATCAGTGTCAAACAAAAGTTGCTGAAACTAACTCTAATCTATGACTAGTATGTCTTAGTGAAATTTCACTGTTAGCAATTATAAAACAAGCAGTAAAGCTGCTGTGGAAGAATGGATTCCTCCCCTCACCTCCTGTGCCTTTTGGTTTCTTATCTCTGCAGTTAGCTTGGTACCTGTAATCATCTCTGAATAGAAAGGCCCCCTCCTCTCTTTTTCTCTCTGTACCCCCGAGCCCTTTGATGTGTCGGGCCCTTCTAAGCGTTCCTGCCCCCATTGCTCCCACTCCCCCAGCCGCAGAGTGGAACCAGGGCAAGAACAAAAGGTCCATTGCTAACTCCTCTACCCCTATGCTTAAGCACAAAGCTTGATGTATTTGAGAGATAGTAGAGTGGGAAAGGCTGGGAAGAATCTTGATTGGATGGGGAACGACCAGAACCAGTCCTGATTGGGTGAAGAACAACCAAGAAGAAGTCTGATTGGGCACTGTTGCAGGGTACCATTGAAGAAATGCGATCAGAGTAAGATTGGGCGGCCCACGATTTATGGAACTCCGCAAGGCATGTAAGAGCATCAAAGGATCTAGGCTGTCAACAGAATGCTTGAATGAATGTCAGCACTATGACCTGCTAACCATACC